ACCAATAATAGTTCAGCAAGTAATTAGCAAGCAAAATTTAATAGTATATAAGGAAGACTAGTTAGGGACTGAACCCTAAATATATTTCATGTTGTTCTATATGTGGTTGTCGAGTTTCATAAATTTGAAGTTAAGATGCAAATGAAATTGGACGGACTAGGTTAATTTATATATTCCGAGCAATATTAATTTGGATTGATTAACCATGAGTCGATCAAAGCATATTCACTTATATAATAATCTATATGTCATTTATACAACACGAAAGAGGGTCGTCACTCTGATCCAGTGTCCTTGATGCGGCAAGGATTAAAGAAGCAGGGTTCGAATAGGGAAGGCGTTGAGCTGGAGATGAGATGTGTTATTGAACTCGGTATATCAAACATCTCCTCTTCACGTAAAATGACAATGCTCTAGAGCCATGCATACATGAACAGCATTAGACAGATCGACAACAGTGAGGTCGAGATTAGCAGATCCCTTCTGAGACTCAATTAATCAAAATTAAAGATGAAAGAAACATTCTACAGTGAAAGGAGGTGTGGGCTAAATCTTATCTCGTGCATTTCAATATTATATAAACTGTATCTTAGCACTTTGCTAGGTCAAGCTCATGTATGATAAATGACGTTAAATACTCATAAATGATACATGTAATAATAATTTTGTATATGATACAATAGGGTGGGTCTCTCCTGGCATATGTTAGGGAGTGGTTTTCTTCCTATCTCTAACTTGCGCTCTCATCTAAATTATGAAGAACAAGAGGAGAAATTTCTGGCTAAATTAAAAGACCTCGAATCTACCGAGATTGGGGATAGATCAATGCTTTATTACCCATGATGGCCAATCTTGAGGAACATGAAAGCTCGAACTCAATTCTGACGGAAAGTACTGGTCCCAGTGAAGCTCATAAGAAGTAGACAATGGCAAAGAGCTTAAGTAACCCATTCACGTACGCTAGTCCTGCCCGTTCTGATTCTAACTCAGTTATTGAGATAGATGCTGAGGAATCTGAGATGAGGGAAGCTCCTGTTGATAGAGACATGTGGAAGGCTAAGGCGGCGGTTTCAAAGCAGCATGTGCGTGTGGGGACCACTCATCAAAGAACTTGTTTTTTTTTTTTGGTTTTTCGTTTCCACATGAGCCCACCCGAACCTTGACATGACCCGACTTCCAGCTGCTATAAAAGGGTCACCTAGGGTTTCGTGAAGAGGTGGTTCAAAAGGTGAGGGGTGCTGCAGACAGAGAGCAAGGCTACAGGAACTTTGCGGCTGCAGGTGCGAAGGAGAGTTGTGCAGGAGGGCGTGCAAAGGAGAACTTTTTCGGCTTGGTGTCTTTTGCGGCTACAGTGCAAGGGGAATTGTTTTCGGCTAAGAAAAGCAGAGGCTTTTTTTTAGGGATTTGTGTACCTCTTTTGTAGAGAGATATTTGTGAGGGATTTGAGAGTTTGTGTGAGGGTTTAAATTGTGAGTGATTGTAAACCCTAGTTGTATCTCTCCCTCTAATAGTAGATCTCCCCCTCCTTGCCCCGTGGACGTAGGCAGTTTGCCGAACCACGTAAAAATTGATTGTTTGAGTTTGTGGCCATTGTAATAGTTTTAGGATCCCTCGACAGTTTTGGAAAAACTTCGCCGAGGTGGAGAATTGTTGATAGAGACATGTGGAAGGCTAAGGCGGTGGTTTCAAAGCAGCATGTGATTTCTATGCGTGTGGGGACCACTCATCAAAGAACTCGTTTTTTTTTTGTTTTTCGTTTCCACATGAGCCCACCCGAACCTTGACATGACCCGACTTCCAGCTGCTATAAAAGGGTCACCTAGGGTTTCGTGAAGAGGTGGTTCAAAAGGTGAGGGGTGCTGCAGACAGAGAGCAAGGCTACAGGAACTTTGCGGCTGCAGGAGGTTGATTGTTGCTTTTTCTTTGTGCGGCTGCGGAACAGTGCTTGGAGGCGTGTGCAAACCGAAGGGGAAAATCTGTTCTCTTTTGGCGGCTGGGTGCAGAGAAGAAAAAGGCAGGCTGTAGCAAGGGTTTGTGTATCCCCTTTGAGAGAGATTTTGTGAGAGGTTTGAGAGATTGTTTGAGTGTTTATTTTGAGAGATTGTAAACCCTATTTGTATTCTCTTTCCCTCTATTAGTAGATCCCCCTTCTTGCCCCGTGGACGTAGGCAGTTTGCCGAACCACGTAAAATTGATTTAGATTGTGAGAGTTGTAAACCCATTGTATTCTTTTTCTCCTCTAATAGTAGATCTCCCCTCCTTGCCCCGTGGACGTAGGCAGTTTGCCGAACCACGTAAAAATTGATTGTTTGAGTTTGTGGCCATTGTAATAGTTTTTGGGATCCCTCGACGCGCAGTCCTAGAGCTGACGAGAGGAAGAGCAAATATCCCACTTTGATGGGATATTAGGCTTTCAGATTCTTGTTCCCTTTGAAAAACAAGAATTCTTATCGATCTTTCTCTCTTATTGTGCACCAGAAACTCTGCCGAAATTTCCGCTGCGCACAACAGCTCCCTTGTATCCAAGTAAATCATTCCCCTCTCTAGCTACCACCGAAAAATCATGGGCAGATGGATTTGATATGAGAGATGATATCTTGTAACTTTGATAACTTGCATGAGATTGACCAAACTTCTAGGATTCCTGATGTGATCGTAGAGGCTAATTCTTCTAAAATTGATTCTATTGTTGCTCCTGATGCTTATTTGGGAAATGCTAGAAGTTTTTAACCTCAGTTGAAATCTAATGAACATATTGGGAAATTAGTGAAAATCAGTTGAAATCCCGCAGAAAAAAATATATTCTAAGTACTGAAATATTGGAAAAGTTTTTAACCTCAATTATGTTCCAAACCAGGATGAAACTGCTTGTTTCTCTTTTGAGGAGTGGGCTGAGAGAGAATCCTTAAGGAGTTATGCCTTAGGGGTGTTTATAGGCTGAATATTAGCTATAAAGCTTTAGAAATGTATGTTGTGAAAATATGTAAGGGTATTGCTATCCTTTTACATTTTTGTTCTTAAAACATGAGTTTCCTTCGTCAATGTCAACTCCAAAGATGATAACTTCAAGCATGGCAGCAGGCCCTCGGTTTTTGGTATGAGATTCAAATATTGCATATCCTGTGAAGTTCAACGATAATGTATATCTTGTGAATTGCAATCAAAGGAACTCTTTATGGCATGAGATTCAAATATTGCAGCTTCTTGTGCTCTCCCTTGGATTATTAATAGAAAGTTCAACAAATGTCCTCCTAATTGATTAATGCGATGGTGCTCGCATGTTTATTCGGGATATAAAGGGGCCTTAAGATTGCATCAATCATTGAGAATTATCTCACCTGAAGCAAACTGATTGTTTTCTCACTTGGACTAATAATCAAGATATTGGGGATAAAATTTGGAGTAGAATTGATAGGATTCTTGTCAACGATAAGTGGATTCTCACCTACAATTCAAATCAGGTCGAATATCCTCCCTCTACTGTTTTTGACCACTCACCTAGTTTGGTCACTGTTCTTGATGATTTTGCGAGTTTGGCATGATGAGACTAGAAGTTTGTACTATGTTTCGCATTGTTTTCAAGCTTGAAAAACTCAAACTGGAACTCAAAGATTTAAACAAAAGGCATCGTATAACATTACTGGAAGGGTTTTAAGAGCTAAATCTGCTCTTAAACATGCTTAGAATCTTTTTCAGGTAAATTCACCCTCTCTTCCCTTGTTGTTAATGAAAAACTTCATACAAATGAATCTCTAGGCTCCTCCAAGCTGACTCAATTTCTATCAACAAAAATACAGGATTAATTGGAGTGTCAATAGAGATAAATGCTCTTCTTTTGTTCGCTCAACCATGAAGAGAATAAGAGGCATTGCTCCAAAATTTTCTCTCTATAATGTTTCTGGGACTAGACTCAATAGGTAGTGCTATCATTGAGGAGGTTACTCAATTTTATAAGAGTATGCTTGGTGTCAAAGCTCCTAATTTAACCTCACCATCATCAAAGTATAGGACCTATTCTTAATGATCTTCAAAGATGCTTCATAGAAGCAGATATATCTATAGAGGACATTAAACTTTGCATCATTCCCTATTCTTGATGATAAGACTCCTAGTCCCGATGGTTTCTCATCTAGCTTCTTCAAATAGAGATGGAACATTCCTCGAGGTGACATTATCCAATGCTACAATAGCTTCCTTTGATAATGGCAAACTTCTTAGACATGTCAATTCTACTTTTCTTGCTTTGATTCCTAAAGTAATAGCCCTATGTATGCCTCTTCTTTTAGGTCTATTGCATGTTGCAATTATCTCTATAAAGTCATTTATAAAATCATCTCTAATTGATTGGAAGACGTTATGAATTTTCTTATAGATGGAACTCAATTTGCTTGTACAAATGGCAAACTAATAACTAAGAACATTGTTATGGGTCATGATCTAGTTAAGCATTATTATAGGATGCATATTTTCAGTAGATGTATGATCATTATTGACATCAGAAAAGCTTTTGATACAGTTGATTGGGATTTTCTTCATGGTCTTGACTTTCCTCAAAGATTTATTAATTGGATTCATTGTGTGTATTACACCCCCAAAGTATATCACCCTCTTCAATGGATATTTGCATCGCTAGGATGGGTGGATTAAGGCAAAGTGATCCACACTCTCCCAACCTCTTTATTGTACGTATAGATTATCAATCTACACTACTAGAAAAATGAGTAAACTAGACGGAGCAACCTAAACGGAAAAAATTTCCATCTAGTTTGAGGCAAACTAGACGGAAATTTTTCCGTCTAGGTTGTTCCGTCTAGTTTGAGACATTCTAGACAAAAATTTCCGTCTGGAATGCCAAACTAAACGGTTTTTATTTTTTAAAAAAAAACTTTAAAAGCAACCTAGACATAATTTCCGTCTATGATGCAACCTAGAGAGAATATCCGTCTTGGTTGTGTTAATTAAAAAAATAAAACCTAAAAAAATACAAAACCTAAACCTATGCCGCCCCTCGCCCCCTCTCCTCTGTCCATTTCCACCGAAACCCTAACCCTAGATCCAACCCCTCTCCCTCGATAATCGATTGCGTGGGGGACAATGAAGTTCAAGTTTGAGGGAGGACGGACTCTGTTTAGTCGGTGATTGTTAGAGATAGGGGTCAATAGTTGATGTAGCCTCGAATTCAGGTATCTAAGTTTCATACTTTAGGTTTTGAGTTGTTTATATTGAGCAAGAATTCTAAAGTTTGTAGATTTCCATGTTCTTTTAGCATGAATATAAGTAACATTGATGACGAGTGACTAGTTCATGACTTGATTAAAATTTTGGGTAAAAACTCTTTTTTTTTCCCATTGTTCATGCTTGTATGTAGTAGTAACAAGTGAAACCTGAGCATCTATATTCAATCTTAGGTTGTTAGTATTTTAGTTGTATATTAACAATAATAATGTTGCTTGGAGAAAGGCCAATGGCCTCTATTCTATCTTACATTTCCCTATATTGTATTGATATGTTCTTTGTATTGGAGCATTTTTTATATGGCATCACCATTCTACGGCAATTTTCCTTGTATTTCTAAAGTTCTCTTCAAGTTTGATGCTGATTATTTTGGAAATTGTTTGAGCTTCCTTGTACTGAAGTGATGATTAATGTTTAGGTGCACAAAAACCATCCAAATGTAGCATATCTTTGTGACACTTGTGACATAAGAGATATAAGAGAAATATGCCCTTTTGTCCTGATTATACCTAAACCAAGTGAAATTGTCAAAAAACGAAAGAAATTGAATTGAGGCCCTTGAAGGTTAAAGAACAAGGAATTGGAGGTTCTATGTATCTCTATGTTATTAAAGTTTCATGGTTCGATCATGTTGGTGATGAAAGATGCTGGTGAAAGGGCATCAGAGTTGGTAAATTTCCTCATTTTTCAAGAGATAGTAGGTTCACATAGTTAAAAAAGCTAATATTACTTTCATTGTTAGCAAATATCTTAATTGTATAAGCCTTTGATTAGTCCTCTGGACTATATAATTTTTATATTAGATTTTCCCTTCTTGAAGTTATCTAGTCCTTAAGGACAAACTTGCAGTCTTTTCTACATGGAGCATCAAGGTAATTATTGTTGTTGTTGTTGTAGGCAATAAGTTCTTAATCTTAGAGGTCCCATCTGCTACAACAGCTATTTGTTGATATTGTGTTGAAAATTGACCGTCGTGCTCAAGATAACGAGTTCTTCATGGTTTTCTGTTACCAAATTTTACAATTTGGAGCTTTGCTATTAATTTTCATCTCATACTACATTTTCTAAAAAATTATCTATAGCTCTCTATTTGGGATTGAAGCAGTGAATGCCGTTTAAAGCCTTATAAATTATGAAGCACAATAATAGTTGTTAGAGGTAGAAAACTGGTGGTGTGCACATTTCTTTTCTATGATATTGCTAACAAGGATTTATAACCTGATATGAAGTTAATTTTTGGTGGTGTGCACATTTCTTTTCTATGATATTGCTAACAAGGATTTATAACCTGATATGAAGTTAATTTTGTACAAAATGATACAAGTTTGTTATGACAAGGATTTATAACCTGATATGAAGTTAATTTTGTACAAAATGATACAAGTTTGTTATGGTGAGAAAATCCCATGATTGCATGATTCAGTTAAAAATAATATTGCAGTCAGATTTGGTACTTGAATGATCTATTCTATGCGTGGGAATCCTATCCATGCATCACGGTGAAGGAATTTGCCAACATATTTGCAAATCTTATATTTACTTGTATATTATTGATGGAAGCACCTGCTTCATGGATGTTATGGTTGTACTACTTTTGTTTTTGGTTTTATCATTAATATAGCGCATTAGGTTGCAAAAAAGTCCAAATGATTCAGAGTTTTACCTTTTTACTTCGCCGTCATGTCATATATTACTACCAGGCTACACATGATGCTCATTGGGATCTAAAGTTAAATTTTGGATTAAATCTATGATTGGAATCTCATCCAGTGATAATAATCAATACTTATTGATCTGTTTACCAGAAAACGTGAAATAATGAAATTGCCGAAACGTGAAAAGTCTCAAGCCATGTATGAGAAATATCATATTTATTATAATCATGTTAGTTTGATTCACATAGTCCATAAATAAATTTTTTGATTAAATTGTTCCTTGACCTGGTAATCGAGCATCATGTTTCAAAAGATCTTGTGTCCAGACCTCATTGTTGTCAGAATTTAAACTATATTTGTTTCCCTCCATTTATTTTTCCTTCTAGAGAAAGTTGAAGGTATTTTCTTGTGGCCCGAGAACCAACATGTACTGGTTTTACACCATCTTGGCCCTTCAGGATGCAATAACTTTATGCATCCTCCCGCTACTGTGCGCCTCTGCTCACATCTCAAATGAAGAAGAAGAAGAAAAGTGAGAGCAAGAGGGTCATCGATGCTACATTAAGGGATTCGATCTTCGTCTATCCTTCTTCATCTTCTATGGATGTAGTTGAGGGATCTGAGAGATCAATGGAGACAATTGAAGCTTCGGGAAGCAATAGAACAGTAAAGGAGCTGAGAGTTTTTTCCATGGCATCAATGGAGATGGAGAGTACCGGCCCTAATGGAAGAGGTTTTGACTAAAACTAAGTATTTTTCTGAACCAAGCCTGCTCAGATCTGGTCCTGTTCTTGATCGTCAGCCAGGTAAAACTCCTAATTCCACCTCTCTGGCTGATGAAATGGAAGAAGAACTTGTGAATGATTTAGATGAGTCAACGGAGGTGATTGATGATAATCTTGAGATTTTTTACCCATTTTGTTGCTCAAGCCACAAGGGAAACGATGATGGATGAGAATCTTGTGATTTCTTCCCCTTCTGTCTCTGCAAGAGGGAAAGGGAATTCTGTTAAACTTAATCTGGAAGAAGATGTTAATGGCAATGGCGAGGATTCAGGTAAGAGAGATGAGCTCAATAAAGGGGAAGATAAGAAATCATATGTGAGTCTCTTTGCTGATAATACTTATTCTCAGTTTTATTCCAGGCTCTCCTTCTGCTGCTGTTTCTTTCACTGCTGAAGAATTGAGGGAATGTGAACAATTTTGGAAGTATTCCTTAATTGAGCATGTTATAGGGCTGAATGTTAAATTCAGATCGATGGAAACTTTCATCAACAAAGCTTGGGGTAAGATATCTATCCCCATAATTTCTCTGCTCAAGCAAGGGGTTTTTTTATTTGATTTTTAGTCTGATCAACAGATAGAGAAGTGTCGGATGTTGGACCTTGGTTTTTTGGCTCAAGGCCTTTGATACTAAAACTATGGTCTACTGAAATTGAAGTAGAGAAAGTTTAGGATTACTCCTACCCAATGTAGATTCATCTTCCAAATCTAAAACTTAATTTGTGGAGTGCTACAGGAATTAGTAAAATCTCTAGCCTAATTGGATGCCTTATAACAACTAACATGCTCACTGTCACTAGGCAGAGACTTAACTATGCTAAAGTTTTAGTTAAAGTGCAATTACCCTTGAAGGAACCTCTGCCAGACTCAGTTGATTTACAAGGGCCAGATGGGAAAAGATATAATCAGAAGATTATATATGAACTTAAGCGAAGATGGTGTTCAAACTGCAATATTATTGGTCATGAAACTGATAATTACAGAAGACAAAAATTAAAGAAAATATGGGTTCCTGTTAACAGAAAGGAGAATAATGCAGCTAAGGATAATGGTGCATTGTCAAGTCATCCTGTATCTGTGCATGTTAATTCTGATCAGGCGATAAATGTATCTGGCAAGTCCAACCAACCTCAGATGATGGAAGGATCTGGGAAATAGCAGGATATTCATCAAGTTCATCAAGTGAATGATCAAATCAATCCAGACAAAAAGAAGATTGGCTCTTCTAAAAGAGAGGAACATGCACAATTGGTGTCAGATACTAACCTGAGGATTAATACTGGGAAACATGCACAACGAATGTCCCCTGATAAAGGACTAAATTATGCTAGCTCTACTGTATCAGTGAAACATGCACAACAAATGGTGTCTGATACTCTAAAGTGTTAGGCATGGAAATTTTGAATTAGCAACTCCTCGTCAATTTTCCTCCCCGACAGTTAATACTTCAGGGTTTACAAGTGTTAGCAGGACAAATGTGGATGGAAGGGTAATAGCAAGAGCTTCAGGGAATTCTATTCAGGCATCTCAATTCTCACCTCTAGACTCACAGACTCTTGATTTTGATCCCTGTTATATTGACAGGGGTGGAAGACAGTAATGCACTTCTCTATATGGAATATTAGGGGATTTAATAAGTCCCCTAAACACTTAATTGTGAAGCAATTCATTCATGATTATAAGCTACCTTTTATAGCTCTTTTAGAAACAAAGCTTTCTCTAGGGAAAATGGATAAAATAGCTCAAAAAATTGCTAAGCATTGGGAGTGGACTTCAAATGTCCAGGAAGCAGGCAATGGGAGGATTTGGCTTCTTTGGAAAAGTGACATTCTCTCTATTCAATGTGTCAAAGTTTCTGTACAATATATAACATGTTCAGTCCATTCAAGAGATGACAAGTTTTCTTGCTTAATGACTATAGTTTATGCTCTTAATCAAAGAGAAGGAAGGAAGGCACTATGATAGGATCTTCAAACCTTCAAGTCATTAGTTAATTGCCTTTGGTTAGTTGGAGGAGATTTCAACGTAATTCTCAGTGATGATGAAAAGCTGGGTGGTGCACCAATTTTTGAGGCTGATACTGAAGATTTTTAGCACTTTATCTCCTTTAGTCAACTGACACACATTAAGACCACAAGGTGCTTCTACACTTGGAACAACAAGCAGGAGGCTGATACTAGAATATGGAGTATATTAGATAGAGTATTGGTTAATGAATTATGGATCTTACAATATACTTCAAGTCAAGTAGAATTCTTGCAGCCAACTTGTTCTGACCATTCTCCAGCACTCTTAACAATTGGAGATGATGATTTTCAGGGGAAAAAACCTTTCAAGTTTTTCAAGATGTGGACAAAACACCCTGAGTTCCTATCTACTGTCAAGTCTGTTTGGGATCAGGATATGCAGGGATACTGTTAGACCCTAAGATCGCTATGAAAGAATCCTAGAGGGGGAGGGGTGAATAGGATTTATGTTAATTTAATCCGATTTAAATGCCAATTAAAACTTACTAACAAATATCCTAGCAAATATAATATGTAACAAGATAACTATGCAAGGATATAAAACTAACACAATGGTGAAACAAGATATAAACAATATAGTAGATGAAATAAACAATGAGAGAGTGGCAATAAAGATGTTCACAAATATAAGTGCGCCAAACCAAACTCAAACAAGCAATATGATCACGGAGTTCGGACCTTCCGTCCTACGTCTCCGTTCCTCACTCCCGGGAAGAATTCCACTATCACACTGGGTTTTCAACGATCACCTGAAAACGTTTACACCACACAATATCGGTTTTCAACGTTTACCGATCAACGTTCACAATCACAATGTAACTACACTAACTACCACCTCAAGTGTTGGTCCTCACGTATCGAATCCCTCAAGTGCTCAGAATTATCATCTCTCATTATTTCACCAACACCACTCCTCTCGGTATCGACTCCGTCCTCACCACACACTCCTCTTGGTGTACTAGTGTATTACAAAGTGTTCCTCACAATTAAGGTTCACTAATACTAATAAATTTGTTCTCTACAATGGATGAGAACACAATGTAAACTCACTCTCTAAGTCACACAATCCCACAACCCAAATTATACTAAGTATGAAAATACAATAAGCTCAATGGTTGTATGTGTACAAAGAGATAAATAAAATTAACTAAACTCAATATAAACACTAGCTTAATAAAATGATAATCAAACAATAAAATGTAAAGCTAGATTGAGTTTAGAAAACTTTTCCAATAAATGACAAGAGTGAGAGAGAGATGATTTGAAGCTCAAAACACCAAAGATTATCTCCTCAAGCCCTTGTGAAATTATCTTCACAAACGAAACTCTTAAACAAGGCTTAAACACCTTTAAACAAACTCAAAATAAACTTTAAACCCTTGTTAAACTTTCTTAAAACCTTCTTTTAGTTAAACTGAAAAATGAGAGCAAATGAGGTTTATATAGCCACCCAAAATCTCAGCCAAAAACCCCAAAGGAAAAGACCAAAAAGCCTAAGAATCAGAAATCTGATTCTGTACAAATATAGTCGTTACAGTGTTATGGATCGACTCGTCACTGTTCATAAGTCGACTCATAACTAGCCGTTACAGGCTAAAAACAACTTATGGATTGACTCATAAAATTCATGAGTCGACTCATCATGCATGGGTCGACTCATGAATTCATGGGTCGACTCAGCAGAAACAAAACTAGTTTTCCAGCACACTTCATGAGTCCGACTCATGATGTTATGAGTCGACTCGTCAGAAATAAAATGTAAACTACACAACAGTTTATGAGTCGACTCAACACTGTTCATGAGTCGACTCATGACATGCACACAGCTTGTTTTAAACAGTACATGTATGAGTCGACTCAACACTGTTCATGAGTCGACTCATGACATGCACACAGCTTGTTTTAAACAGTACATGTTAATAAAAACAGGGTTTAAAAATATCAAATAAATTTAGAAAAATGTAAAACTTTGGAAAATGGTTGTAGACATGATAATAAACATGCTACAAAAACTGGTTTTTAAAAAGGAATTTTCAAATGTAAAATATCATCATTTTGTAAGGAGGTCCAAAATATAGAAATGTAAACATATGAATTTTGACATTTTGCTTAAACCATATTTTGAAACTTTACAAAATGATTTTATAAACTTGAAGAAAGATGTAAACTATTGTTATGAAGTCTATAAACAATGAATGTAGTATTTTATCAAAATACACATATACTACACTAAAACATGATTTCATTGAACTAAATAAAATTGATATTGATGAAATCATATATATGCATATAAGTATGAAACAAAAATATGTTTTCTAATTATATTAAATTGTTTCATATTAAAACTTGAAAACTATCAAACCAAAACATATATGTATATATATAACAATATATATACAAAACCAAAACGTGTATGTGTGTATATGATTGAGCTTAAAGTACTAACACACATAATATAAACTCATAAACTAAATTACCCAAGCTTGATGAAGGTCTTCAATGAGTTCAACTTGGTACACTTGCGGATGAAGCTTGAACTTGGATCTTCAACTTGAATTTGCATAGCTTCAACCATTATTCCACCAACCTCCATTTCATATGATCGTTATGACGCAATCCATCCATCCTCCAACATATTGTTTGTCTAATTTAAATAGCAAAACACAAACACTAATATTAGATATAAATTGTTTGTTAAATCATCATCAAAACAAGAAGGCCAACAAATACTATATGTTCAAGTTACATTCAAAGCTTAAGTTGCTCAAACTAGTGTTGAAGGATTTAAATAAAAGACACTTCATGAATATTAGTGAACAGGTGTTAAGAGCCAAGCAAGAGCTATCTGATATTCAGAATAAATTGAGCACTGACCTTCTTAATCCTCATCTCATATCCAAGGAAAAAGAATACTTAAAGAAATATACTACTCTATACATTGTAAGGAATCTTTTTATAGGCAGAAAGCAAACATTAACTGGGCTGTGCATGGAAATAAATCCTCTCAATTCTTTCATTCAATCATGAAAACTAGAAGACATCATAACAGGGTTCTGTCTCTTTATACTGATGATGGTAATAGAATCTCTGATATGTCTACAATTATCAATGAGCTAACTGAGTATTATAAAAGACTTCTAGGAACTTCAGGGGATTATGTTGTGCCTGATCCAGATGTCATTGCTAATGGTCATATTCTATCTACAAATCAAAGGAGCTTGCTAGAATCTCTTGTCACAAGGGAGGAAATAAGACAGGCTGTGTTCACAATGTCTGATGATAAAAGCCCAGGACCTGATGGATTTAGTGCATCTTTTTTCAAATCAGCCTGGAATATTATTAAAGATGAAATGTGTAAAGCTATAGAGGAATTCTTCTGTACTGGTAAGCTTCTTAGCTTCTTGGTGTCTATAACTCCACCTCCATTACTCTGGTGCCTAAAATCCTCAATCCCAGATCACCAGCTGATTATAGGCCAATATCCTGCTGCAACTGTATATACAAGGTTATTTCTAAAATTATTATTGCAAGAATTCAGAAAGTAATTGGCTTCTTGATTGATGATGCACAAAGTGCATTTGTTAAAGGAAGACTTATTTCCAACAACATTCTGCTAGCTCATGAACTTCTTAAACATTATGGTAGAAGACATGTTTCTCCAAGAGCTGTTCTTAATGTTAATCTGAGAAAAACGTTTGACACGATAAGCTGGGGCTTCATCAGACACATGCTAACAGGTTTGGGATTTCCTAATAACATGATTAATTGGGTAATGGAATGTATCTCTACTCCTAGATTCTCACTGTCACTAAATGGCTCCTTACATGGGTACTTTGAGGGAGCTAGAGGACTGAGGCAAGGTGATCCATTATCTCCCTTCTTGTTTGTGTTAGGAATGAAATATCTATCTAGGAAACTCAAGACTCTCAGCACAGATAGAAGATTCAAGTATCACCCATAATGTGCTAAGATGAAGATTACTCACTTGATATTTGCCGATGATTTGCTACTATTCTGTAAAGCTGATTTGGACTCAATAGCAAAATTGCATAGCTGTCTTCAAGAATTCAACAGTGTCTCAGGTCTGGAGGCAAACTCTAGCAAAAGTTCAATTCTCATGAGTGGTATTGATGATAATTCAAAGGCACAAATATGTACATTCTTAAATTTCTCAGGGGGCTCTTTGCCAATAAGGTATTTAGGCATGCCGCTGATCTCAAAGAGACTCTCCTTCCTTGACTGCTCATCATTCATATCCAAAATTTCAGATCAATTCCAATCTTGGCAGAACAGGAAGAATCTGTCATATGCTTGGAGAATTCAACTCATAAAATCTGTTATTCTGTGAATCCAAATATATTGGACAAGCAACTATATCCTACCGATCAAGGTTTTGGAAAGAATTGATAAGATGTGCTCTGTTTTCTTATGGGGGAACAAAGTTCATCTGGTTTCTTGGAAAGAGGTCTGCAAAGATAAGAAAGTAGGAGGATTGAGTTTTTTCACAGCCAGAAAATGGAATCAGGCTGTAGGTATTAAGCTGTTATGGATGATACATACAAAAAAAGATTTGTTGTCGATTAAATGGGTTCATGATAACTATTTACAACATCAGGGGATCTGAAAAATTCAACCAAAGAAGAATGACTCTTGGATGTGGAGGCAGCTCCTAAAGGTGAGGGATTTGGTGATGAGAAGATTTGGAAATGTGGAGAGCATACATAGAGTTCTAAATAGTTGTCATAAAAATGGTAATATTCAAATCTTATCTATATACAATGCTATATCTCAACCTTTAGCTATTGCAAACTGGTTGAATTCAGTTTGGGGGGGGGGGGGGGGGGGGGGGCATTCGATGATACCGTGGCTTGGCTTGCTATTCTTTCGAGGCTCCTGACCAAGGATAGACTGTGTCGCATGGGGATATTGGATGTCAACCTGAACTAGTGTGTGCTGTGCACTGATTCAGTTAATCGCCCTGACTCAAAAAAACATCTTTTTTTTAGTGTCAAATTCTCATCTTATGTTTGGAATGAGGTGATGGAATGACTAGGCTTTACATGGAGATCATGTGATTGGGATCATGTGATGAATTGGTACAGTAACAACTTGAGAGGACTTGGATTCATGAAGAAGATGAAAAGAATGGTGCTGTCGGCAACAATTTACTGGATATGGAAGGAGAGGAACACAAGAATATTTCAGGAAAAATGCCGAAGACCGCAACAATTTACTGGATATGGAAGGAGAGGAACACAAGAATATTTCAGGAAAAATGCCGAAGACCTGATCAACTTGTGAGGGAGGTGAAGCTTTCAACACAAGAATATTTCAGGAAAAATGCCGAAGACCTGATCAACTTGTGAGGGAGGTGAAGCTTTCAGTCATGATGAAAGTCTTAAATGAAGATATTCCAGAGCACTTGAGAGGGAAAATTGAAAAGTTGTAAGTGATTACGTGTTTTCTTGTTTGCCAGAGAGTTCTCTGGTTTTTTTAATGTACTCTCATTTCAAAATTTGGGAAAATGAATAATATTTTTTTCATTGACCAAAAAAAAAACTTTATGCATCATAGCTCTCAGGTGAACTCTAAAGTAACCACTGTTCTATTTGTAGTTTATTATCTGTAACAGGCCGGATGCACCATCGTTTGGTTTAGCTCATACCTACCAGGTTATAAGGTAATAAGATAGAAACGTATTCACTTTATCAGTGTTTAATTCACATTGATAAAGTATTTCATTGTTGGTACTAACTTTCTATTGCATTGTAAATTAGAAGTATGTAAATATCAAGGTCATGTCTTCTGATATGTGTACTTGTGCAGAGTGTTGAAGAGGCAGAATGTTGTAGGGCATATGATTCTACTACTGAGGCATACACTTCATTTTTTAACCACACGAAGCCAGCAGAGGAGGTACAGACTGTTATATATACATATATCTTTATATACAGTACTTGCGTGTTAATCAATTTTTCAGTATCATTGGTCTAGGAATTGAGCTATTTCTATTTACATATTTACTTTATAGGGGGAGAACCAGTATAGATTGAACGGACAAGCAAAAGAATTCAAGCAGCTGAACATTCATGTTTGGGAAGCCTTTGAGAAGGGGCATGACAAAACAAGCAGGCGAGTAGAGGATAGAAGAATGTAAATAGATTATAAGTATATCTCCTTTCGTTCCAATTGTAAATAAGTATATAAATAGAAAATTAGTTATTATCTATGTAAATAATTTCTGTATCGCTCTAGTATTTTGGTGAATGTATTATTTAAATATAATTAGATTTAATATTGGAATATAAATAGATTGTGTTGGATATGAATATGATTTGGTATTGTGTAATATTATGCATATGTACCTCTGACATTATATGTCGTGCAAAGCAGGTTCTGCAAAAAAAAAAACTACTGTAACTCGTTCTAGGAAGCAACCTAGACGGAAATTCTAGACCTAAGAAGCAACCTAGACGAAAATTCCGTCTAGGTTGCTTCCTAGACGGAATTTTGAATTCCGTATAGGTTGTTTTCTGTCTAGTTTGGCCAACCTAGACAGAATTCAGTCTAGTTTGACTCAAACTAGACGGAAACAACCTAAACGGATCAACCTAGGTGGATTTTTGTCTAGGTTGATCAATCTAGACTGGATTCTAAGCAACCTAGACGAAATTTTTCGTCTAGGTTGCATGTTTTTCTACTAGTGCTAGAAGTCTAATTCAATTGAATCATGCATGTGGCTTCCATTATAATCCAAAGTGTGTCAAACCAAAGATAACATATTTGATCTTTGTTAATGACCTCTTTCTCTTTGGGAGAGGTTACATTGGACCAATAAACCTCCTTTATAGATGTTCCACTCATTTCAGTCAATGCTCTGATTTATTTACTAATCCTTCTAAAAGCTCCATCTTCTTTGATGATGTTATTATTGCTGTTAAGAGCGTTATTCTCGATGATTTAGGGTTTCACGTGTTGGTCTTTGCCCATAAGAAACTTAGGCCTCCTGAAGATTGCAATCTTCTAATAAATAAGACGACTCAGAAAATTCATTCTAGGTACGCTAAATTTTCTATGTTATACTGGCAAACTTTAATTGATTAAGAGTGTGTTTTTTTTGGGGATCTCCTTAAGAAAGTCAAGAAGCAAATTGATACAATTTGTAGAAACTACCTCTGAGGATCCCCCTAACCCCAAATCCGTTAGAATATTACTTATGCTGATCACAAGTATGGAGGCCTTAGGTGTTCTCAGCTTCTATTTAAAATCAAGGACAAATTTTCAAAACCAACCTATTTAGAAACTTAATTATAAAAAACAACATATTTGCAACTTATTTATCAAAATCGACATAGTTTTCAACCAATTGGCTAAAACTGGGTCGATTTAAAAAAAAATTAAGAAACTTCACAGGACTTGAAGTCTCATGAAGTTTAAGCCCTCTTTAATCACGATTAGCGGGGGTCTTAACTTCACGGGACTTGAAGTCCCGTGAAGTTTCGTATGTTTTTTTTTCAAATTCAACCCAGTTTCAGCCAGTTGGCAGAAACTGGGTCGAATTTGAAAATTAAGTTGGAAACAAGTCGATTTTTGCAATTTTGTAAAAAGGTCGAATTTGAAAACTTGTCCTAAAATCAAGCCTCTACTCTCGAGCTTTTGTGTGCTATTCATGAAAATCTTGTTTAAAGATGGCTACTATTTGGGAGGTACAAATGTAAGCTAATGATTCTTTGGATTTGGAAACAACTCCTCCAAATTAGAGATATGACTAAACTTAAATGGGGAGGATCTCCTGCAATTCAGCACAAGATGGATTCTTGGTGTACTAGGTGTAAGTTTATTCTTTCTGATGGACATAATTCTGTGCTTCCTCCTGTGCCTCATCCTCTTTAGTTTGCTACAGTTTGGGGGACGTTCATTATCCCCAGGCACGCATAAATTTTGTGGGTGACATCTCATCAAAGGTTACTCACATTTGACAGATTGAATAAATTGGGTGTGCCTGTTTCTAATATCTGCTTTGCATGTAATTTAGTCATGGAAAGTCATCAGCATCTATTTTCTGAGTGTGAATACTTTTCATCAGTTTGGAACTCAATTACGTCTTAGATTGGTTTTAGTAGGAAAAGTTGTATGTTGAGGCATTTGATGCAGTGGTTATATGCTATTGGAGGGAAAATGTGCATGCTTATGAGACTAAGTGCCAGGTATTAGCAGCAACAGTATACCACCTATGGAGAGAAAGAAATGCACGACTTCATGAAAGCAAATCAAAAGTATTTATCAAACTGTTAAACCTATCAAAGTTTATGTCGTAATCTCTATGTATCATCACAAAATCCCCAGTGAGTTCCAGCTTGGTGTAGAATGTTTAAAACTTGCTCTAGTATAATCTTTTCTCTCGAAAGTTTTGCATATAAACATTTAAGATTTGCTTTCCCAAGTGAATTGGGTTGCTCTCACTGTAACAGATTTTGCATTTGAGATTGAACTCATATGAGGCTTCATGATTTGGAGGTTGGGGTTCTCAGATCCTGAGTTGAAGTTTTTTTTTTATTTATGAAAGCTATATAATTGACAATATGAATGTGGTAGCTGTTAAAAAATCAGGTTTTCGGTGATCAGTGTCATTAGTCGACTTATGACAGGCATAAGTCGACTGATGAAAAGCCCTGAAATTATGATTTCTTTTCTACTTAGTCGAGTGATAGGTGATCAGTCGAATGATGAGCTCGTTCAGTCGACTGATGATCTGACCAGTCAACTGATGAAGGTTTATGCAGTTTTTTGTGCACGTTATTAGTCGACCGATGCTTTACATCAGTCGACTGATGACGGGTTCCTGGACTGTTTTTTGTTTCTTGTTTGGTTTTGGATTTGGTGTTTGTATAAATACAAACATGTATTTTTAGGTTTCTTTATGAGCGTATTGGCAGCCTTTTAAGCACTTTGAGTGGGAGAATTTGTGAGATTATTGAGTAACTGTAATCTCTATTTGTACTCTCACTTTCTTTATTAGTGAAATTTATCCCCTCCTTTACCCGTGGACGTAGGCACATTGCCGAACCACGTAAATTCGGTGTCTTGCTTGTGTGGTGCGTGTTTTGGTTGTTGATTTATTCTCCTATCGTATTTGTGCTTTCGATTCTGCTGCACACAAGAAGTAGTATTAGAGCTCCGGGTTGGCTTGGGGTTCGATTTGAAGGAGAAAGCTAGAGTTTCTACAAGGGATTTCATCTTCCAAGGAGTGGTGGAGAAATCAATTGGAGGATTTGGTGAGGATTCTCGTTTGAAGAGATTGGATTGTCAAAATGACCGAAGCAAGTATATCGGGATCATCCCTGACTAAGATGATACAATGGTTGAGCATTAATAATATAAAAATTGATGTTTAAAAATTTAATGACAAGATAAATTTTGGTTTGTGAAGGTGTCAAGTGAAGGATGCATTAGATACCTAAATTTAGAGGAGACTTTTGAATTACAAGAGAAACTAGATGATATGAATGATAAGTTTTGGAACAAAATAAATAGTAGAGCATGTGGGGTTATTAGATCATGTTTGACGCCAAACTTGATTTATGATGTAATGAATGAAACATCGGAGAAACGGTTATGAGAAACACTCAATGACAGGTATTTGACGAAGAATATTGAGAATAGGCTTAATTTAAAGAAGAGGTTTTACCAATTTAAAATGAAGAGGGGAGTTTCCATTAGAGAACATGTTAATAATCTCACAAAATTGCTATCGGATATGGCCAATGTGGATATCATGGTAGAGGATGAAGATAAGGCGATATCGTTATTATGTTCATTACCAGAGGATGATTATGGTACCTTTGTCCTTACAATGATTAATGGTAGAACTACTGTCAGTTAAAAGGTGGTGACCTCAGTATTGGTTAATTATGAGTTGAGAAAGAGCGATAGTGAACCCTCCGAGAAGGCATCGGGAGATGTATTGGCAGTGAGAGGCCGTAGTCCAAAACCCTATCCATTTAATCGCTCAAACTTGAAGCCAAGAGGTGGTCATAGAAGTATGGGAAGGAATCAATGTACTTTTTGCAAAGAGGATGGACATTAGAAAAATAAATGCCTAAAGTTAAAAGATAGAACTGGGAAAAACAAAGGGAAAGTCAAACAGACTTTAGAGGTGAATTTCGCTAAAGTTAGTGGTGATAATTCAGAATCAGATTCTTCATGCTACTCATGCCTAGTATTTCCATCAGTTTGTTATGCATTCTCTATAGAATGAATGTTAGATTCGGGTGCTACATACCATATTTTCCCTAGGAGAAATTGGTTCTCTAGCTTTGAGGAGTTGGAAAAGGAGGATGTCATGTTAATGGAAAATGATCACGTATGCCCTATTGATAGTATTGGAACACTTCAAATCAGGATGTGTGACAGTGTGACTAGGGAGTTGAAGGAAGTGAGATTCCTTCCTCAATTGACGAAGAATATCATTTCACTTGGAACTTTGGAGGCATCAGGTTATAGGGTGATTATGTAAAATGTACTTTGAAGATCACCAAGGGATCCATGATGGTGATGAGAGGTGTCAGGGAAAACAATCTTTACTACTACCTGTAGGGCCAGACAGTAACAGAGGGTCTGACAGCTTCAATTACCACAGAGGAGGATACTACCCGTCTATGGTACATGAGGTTGGGACACACTGGTGATAAGTCTCTGCACGCATTGGCAAAGCAGAGGCTATTGAAGGGTACAAAAATCTGCAAGATGGAATTATGTGAACATTGCATACTTAGGAAGAAGATAAAAGTGAGATTTGGCACAACAATTAATAACACCCAAGGTATATTAGATTACATTCACATAGATGTTTGGGGTCCCTCCAAGAATACATCTCTTAATAGGGCAAATTACTTTGTCACTTTCATTGATGATTAGTCCAGGAGGAATTAGATATATACCATGAAGCATAAACATGAGGACTTGGATGTCTTTGTAGAATAGAAAAAGAAAGTGGAACTGCAGACAAGTAGAAAGGCAAAAGTACTCCGTTATGATAATGATGGTGAGTAGATAAGTGATCCATTTCTGCAGTTCTGTAGGGATCACGACATTGAGCATCATTTCACAGTTAGGGAGATACCACAATAAAACGGAGTGGTCGAGAGATTGAACCGTACCTTGTTGGAGAAGGTGTGTTGTATGCTCTCACAGAGTGGATTAGCTAGATCCTTTTGGACCGAAGCATTGGTTTATGCAAGTCATCTCATGAATAGGTTGTCGTGTACTGCGATACATGGAAAGACTCCTGTAGAGGTATGGTCTGGTACAGTGGCTAGTGATTAT